AATTCATCCTACATCCACCCAACCGGTGGAGGCAGATGGCCGTCCCTCCCTGAGCCTGGTTCTGTCTGAGGTTTTTTCCCCTGTGGGGGTTTTCGGTTCCTTCCCACCAGCAGACTGCTGAAGCTTATAGGGAATCCAGATGTTTGGATTGTTGGGCGTTTCTGTCTCTGCCTTTGTGAAGCGCTATGAGATGACTGTTGTTGTAAATATGCGCTATACAAATAAAACTGAATTGAATTGAATTGAACCACAGAACAGAACCCGTCTTACTTCCAGACGGAGTTGCGGTCGGTGGGATACTTGTTGAGGTTCTTGAGCAGCTCCAGCAGAGCCAGCTGGATGCACTCTTTGGTGGAGACGTTGGTGAAGCACAGCAGCTCATGAAGAGCTTCTCTGATGTCTCGAGATGAATCCTGGACAGACAGACGGACTCCATCAGACACACTGTTGGCTTTCAATCAGACATTTACTGCTGCTGTGGGTTTTACCTCCAGAACAGCCAGAACCGTGTCCAGCTGGTCCTCCCGCAGAGTGATGTGGGTGGAGATCTGTCTCAGGACGTGGATGGACTGCAGCCTCACCTCCTCGATCTCATCATTGAACATGTCCACCAGGAAGTCCAGACATTTCTCAGCAAAGCTGGGAGAAGATCGAGCCAACTGGCAGAGAGCCTCCACCGCCGCGATGCGAACCTCTGAGGGAGGAAACACCAGATTAAACACCATCTGATGACAACATGCTGACCCACAGCAGAAGCTCCCGACGCTGTAGAACCTCAGATGGCAACAAACGCCCTGTAAGGAACCTGATCTATCATCGGTCACTGAGAAGATTCAACCAAAACCTACAATCACCACTAAAGTCCTCAAGTCTCAGGAAACAGACGATTTTCTGCTTCCTGGAGTTCCAGGTCCTTGAAGTCCACAGAGGAGGGTCCAGATTGATCACTTTAATGGACTTTTTCCATCATTTCTGAGCCTCAGAACTTCATCAGTACAGCAGATAGACACATGACATTTAGGAGGAAGAACACATCTGGGTTCTGCTAGAACCTGGCACCAGATCAGTTCTACATCAGAAAGTCCATTAAAGTGAGAAATCTGGACCCTCCTCTGTGGACTTCAAGGACCTGGAACTCTGGAACATTCACAGTGTGAAGGTAGAACTCTGGTCAGTAGATAAAGGTGCTGCAGATACAGAACCAGCTGGTTCTGGGAGGATCGACTGATTAAAGGGAATGAGCCTCCTGCTTGATTCATTTTCATATGTGACACTGAGCTGTGTGGTCCGATCCTCAGCAGGTCTCCAGTACCGAACATCTCGTCCTCCAGGCCGTGGACGAAGGCTCCACAGGCCCCAGAGGCGATCAGGTTGACGGTGTTGGTGTCCAGTTTCTCCTTCGGAGCGTCGTCCGCCCACTTCCTGCCAGAGGAGAACTCTCCAGAAGCAAAGAGCTCTTTGGCCCGTTCATGAGCCGTTCGCTTCCTCTGGACACAGCAGAGAAACAGTCAGTGAACAGCGTCAGGTCAGACAGAATCCCATCTTCACCTCACAGTTAACTGGTTGTTTGTGACCCAGTGAAAGTGAAATGACTCACTCTGAGGTCAGACATCAGCTTCTTATCCAGCGTCTGCTCCAGGAAGTGAGGACTGACCTGCAGCATCGAGCCCTGAAACAGCACAGCAGGTTCAGTGAACGCTCCATCCGGAGTCCTGTTTTATCTACTATCAGCCTGCTGGGTCGACACAATTCAATAGAAATGACTCAAAGATTAACGTCACTAATTACAACCAAAGTTATGAATCTACAACCAGACGAACAAATCGGAGCGTTAATGTGAGCGAACTCTGACTTTGTTCCTGTTTCAGCGTAAACTGGTCCCTTTACATGAGCTGTGTTCAGGGTTCTGGTGGTTCCCAGTCCAGCACCAGCTGGAATAAACTGGTTATTTACAAGGATGTTAAATGAGTGTAGCTGCTGAGTGTCGGCCCAGTTCTGTTCTCACCAGGGTTTTAGCCGCCTGCACTCGGACCATCCAGGAACCGTCACCCACCATGTGACTGATCTTCCCAAATGCGTCATCAACCAGTCGGATCTCCTCATTGGACGACGGGATGGGCACGATGCTGATTGGACAGCAAGAAAAAGTACAGGTCAGGCTGATGCTAACTAATGCTAAGCTAACCAGCTAGCAGAAGGCTTCAACGTGAAAATTCTGATTTTAATGTTTCAACCAAATAAAAACAAATATCAAGATAAAAAAACTGCAGCATCATCAGGAGGCTTCTCAGAGTTTCTGTTTTCAGTGAACAGAACTTGAGCAGAACTTGGGTCCTGTTTCTTCAGTCCTTCCTGTGTAGCTGTGAACCCAGAGAGCAGAGGGAGGTCATCAGAACATCAGTCTGAACATCTGGATCTTCTCACCTTTCAGGGTACAGCTGACTGAGAACCCAAACCATCTGGACCGCTGCAGATCGGACCTGCTCATAGTCATCTGACAGCAGTCCGCAGGCCTGGAAACAGAAACACCAGAACCGGTCCGGTCCATGTCAGACAGCAGAGCTCCTCCACCACCTCAGCTCTGGTTCACACTTTGTTTATCTGGTAACTGTCACATGTTCTGGCTGCACTTTGAGAAACCCTCAAATAAACACCTGTGAGTCCACTTCCAGGTTCAGAACCTCCAGAAATAAAAGTCCAACGGCTGTGAAATGTGGAGACTCAGACAGAGCAGTTCCATCAGGACCACTGAACGGATCCATCAAGACACAGTTTCATTATTGATCATAAAGTTCCTGTCAGTGTCTGTCTATGGATGGACCCATGGTTCTACTAGAACCCAGTCTCTGGTCACATTTCACCACCTGTTGAGGCTCTAACATCAGCAGAACCTGATGGGGTGAAGTTGGACCAGACAAGGTTCTGCTTTTACATGTTTAGATGAAATGTTGATGTGGATCATTGGTAGGAACCAGAACCTGGAGTTCACAGGTTCTAGATGTGCAGGTTTGTGGTTCTGTGTGAGTCTGTGTCTTGTTTGGGTCACCCTGCATCCCTTTGGGACCGTTTTCTCATTTCTTTGTCTTCCTTCTACCCTGTTGTTCCTGTTCTTTGCTATTCAGACACGACCCAACAGTCCCGTGGGCTCCAAACCGGCTGTTGCTACGTACAGCAGCCTCGTGGTGTCGTCATGGTGAACCTGGATGTGGATATTAAACCCTTCAAATGACTTCACAGGCTTCTTTGAGTGAAAATAGAAAAATTCACAGGTCTCTAAAGTCAGCCAAAACATCTCTATAAACAGTTGTGGTTCTGAAAAATCTAATCAGTGAACTGTGACCAGAGTCTGAGGCAGTGCTGACAGATGTTCCAGCGCCACCACAGGCTGGTTGAAGGCTGAACGCTGCTTTAACAGAAGTGAATCCCTGAAACACCTCCATCACTGTCAGTGTACCTGGTCATAGATGATCTGCTGGATCTTCATTCCTCTCTCATGCAGCTGCAGCTGAACACAAGAACACAGAATGTCAGTACGTACAACCGTCCAGCTGACTGACTGGTTCTGGTTGGGTTTCTGGTCCGTTTGGGTGTGTTCAGCCTCCTACCATGGCTTTGAGGGCAGCAGTTCGAACTCTGGGGTCCTGATCTCCAAAGTAATCACTGATGATGCTCTGAACGTCCCTCACAGCTGCTGGAACCACATAAAGCTCCAGATTAAACAACAGTCACGGACCAAAGCATCTGAGTTGTTTTAGTTCTCTAAGCTCCTGTCTCGTGTTCCTTCACTGAGCTTCATGCTTCACTGAAGTCCTGCAGCTCTGTGGAACCAGAACATGAAGGAGGAGAGAGAACTCAGAAACGTCTTCTGTCAGCAGAACGATGGAACCAGAGAGAAGGAACGTTTCTTTGATTATTTAACAGCAATGTAAAACAACAGCCGTTTCCAACCCTGGACCACGTGGAGGCTCCTCATGCTGGAGATATCTAGTGATCGACTGGTTTAATCAGTTCCTCGTCTCCTTGGAAACGCTGCCAGCAGCTCAGCTGAGGCGGTCACGGCTTCACGGCTGTGCAGGAAATGCAGTTTTTTTCTTTTGACAGAACACCGCTACAACAAATGGTAGATTTTGGCAAAGTTTAAAATGAGAAATGTAGAATAAAATGATTTAGATGAAATATCACAGGGGTGGTCAACCCGTGGCTCCGGGTCTGCATGCGGCCCTTTCATCCCTCTGCTGCGGCTTCTTGTGGCTTTGGAAAATAAATAATGAGTACTTTAATTAAAATTTATTTTATTTTAGCTCATTAGTTTTTAAAAATGTAGTTCTAAATTTGAAGATTTTTGTGAACTTGTAACATTAAAATAATTAAAATAAAATGTGTTGAATTTTTTTTTTTTTTTGTCGCTCAAAATATGTGTCACAATGTGCAACACACGATGTGTGACGTCCGCAGCACACGCAGCGTTGCAAACTTGATGACGTTCTCACTAAATCTGGCAACTTTCCAAATCCTCTTGGCAACTTTTTTGTCAAAAGCCAGCGACTCTTTCTGGTGTTTTGGAGGCTCTGAGGTGAAAACTGGTATCGTTGTGCCGTTCCTGTCCTCAGCGAGCAGCGGTGCTGCCGTGAGCTCCTCCGTCCCAAAGAGCTCACAGGCGGTCAGCAGTCTGGTCAGCAGTCCAGCTGCAGGCAGCAGGACAACCAGACGCTGGTTTACTTTGCTGCAGGGGGAGGATTTAAGATCAGCTTTGTATTTCGTAAATACAAGGAGTATTCAAATAGACTTTGAATATTTTATTTGAAAGTAACCTTCAACTCAGCGTCTTTTTTTTTTTTTGGAGTTCAAAATGTTTTTGTTGCAGAAATAAAATTAAAATTTTGTTTCCTCTGTTCATTGATTTAATAAATGCAACACACTGTAGTTTTTTATACATAGCATTAACGTAAAAACAATACATGCAGTGTTATCTTCATTTTAAATGTCAAAAGGGTTTTGTGGCTCCTGGTGCCTTCTTTTCCGTTGAGTGTTTAAGGTTGCCGACCCCTGAAATATCACAACTGAATGATTTCGGTAACTTTGCTGAAGAAACTGTTCGTCGCTCAGGTTCATCAGTAACTAAGGAGACATCTGACAGTTCTCTCTGCTTCTGCAGTTTCTGGCTGACTGATGGTGTGATTTGGCCATTTCTAAAAATATAACAAGGCTTTCAAACCCGTCAGCGTGTTTATGGGTTCAGATCTTTAAGTTCTGACGGCGATGGCACTTTTTAAAATTCCATAAAGGGAACACAGTCGTGACTCGATGAACAGACACTAAATGTAAAACCTTCTTCTATGTCGGATANTGTGTGTGTGTGTGTGTGTTACCGTATGGTGAGGTCCAGCAGGTCCGGAGCTCCGGCTGCCTCCAGGTTCTGGATGGTACTGACTCTGTTCAGACTTTGCTGAAGGAAAAGCTGAGACGATTCCACTGAACCAGAACCAGAACCAGAATCCACCGAGTCCAGACCGTAGACCTGCTTCCTGCCGGGCAGCTGGAACACACAGTTACAGTGAGTCAGCCTTCAACAAGCACAAACATACTGTGGTTCTGGTTTCGGCCCAGGATCGTCTGTACCGGTCTGAACTCTGAGTGTCGGTGAGCCGGCTGCGAAACCAGAACCAAAGTCCTTCAGCTGTCTGAGTCAGGATCAGCTTCAAGCTCAAACAGTAATCTGATCGTATTAAACCCATCAGAACTCGATTAGTCTTCCAACAGAACCATGAAACCCGTCCTGCTCACTATTATATGTCAACTGTTGGTTCTGAACTGTTGCTCGGTCAAACGGACTCTGAAGCAGAGCTCAGCAGGAGACGTGATCTGAACCTGCAAAGTGAAATATTCCATTAAGTGTCTTCCTATAAAGTACCAGGACCAGTTCTGACCCTGAGCGGCGGCACCAGGTGGGACAGGCTGTCCCTCAGATAGGCGTAGTGTCTGAAGGTGTGGTCAGAGAACAGCGCCAGCATCGTGGGACATGACGTGGCAGCGTTAAACACCAAGACCAGAACCGCGATGTCTGATCAGCGCCAAGTCAAGACAGAACAACTGGATCCACAGCAGAGACACAAACCGAGTTCTGAGCGTGGAGCCCAAACGCCCATCCGTCACAGGTCTGAACGTTCAGCTTCGGACTCTACGGTGACATTCATCTCTATAAAGGATTAAACCCACAGAAGTGATTGGACTCTACGGTACCGGACTGCAGGTCCCATTAAGGCTACAGCAGAACTAACTGGACAAGAACTCTACGTCGTGAAAACCCAACACTGAGTCGCTGCTTGCAAACTGCTTTTCCTTCACTGATTTATCCACGTTTGTGTTGTTGCAGGATACAGGCCGGGTCGTCCATGTCCGGTTCTGGAGTGTCGAAGTACGGATGTGTGCTGAGCAGTTCCGGAACCAGTGGCAGAACCAGAGTCGGGTGTCGAGAACCCAAAAACTTCAGACACCTGACACAAAACATAACAAACAGACACAAGAACACCACAAAAAAGCAGATGGTCAAAGACAGAGCAGCTGGAGACGCCTGGTCCTCAGCATCATCAGAACGGTCCGGACCAGAACACACTGATGTAATGACTGAATGTTTCTGACTGAAACCTGGCTGCAGCATGAAGAACATGTTAGTCTAAATGAATGGACTCCCCCAGCCATGTGAACTTTCATATAGCTAGAAGTACAGGCAGAGGGGGAGGAGTGGCAGCAATCATCCACTCAAATCTATTAATTAACCAGAGACCAGAACTTAGTTATAAATCATTTGAAAGCCTTAGTCTTAGCCTGAACCAGAAAGCGCAGAAACCAGTTNGGACACGTGAACGGGGTTAGGGCGTGGACACGTGAACGGGGTTAGGATGTGTGTTACCTTATAAGCCACCTCTATGAGCCTCAGTCTGACAGCTGGACTCTCAGGAAGATGAGATCCGATAACCAGCAGAGTGTCGAGCAGCTGAGCCAGAACCTGATGAGACTCTGTAGACACACAAAAACACAGCTGAACACACACATTAACACATTAGCACCTTGCTGGTGCTGGATCTGCTCTCAGATGGACGTGGCTCTGGATAAAAGCGTCTGCTGATGTTCTCCTAACAAATGACCTCCAGAAACATTTAAGATCTCAAGACTGAATTTCACAGACACCATTTTCAGCATCCAGAGTTTACTGTAAAAAGGTTTGGAGCAAATCAGCAGAAGGACCTGATGGTTTCAGGTGGAACAGGAGTGAGGCTGAACAGTGAATCAGCTTCAGAACCCAACCATGACAGCCAAAGTGTCACGACTCCACCGTCTCAGGGTTTAAACTCCACGCTGATGGTGTCTCTTGTGTTCATGCTCCATCAAGTCTTTTAAATCGATGACACAGTAAATACTGATGTTGCTTTAAAAACAAAGAAATAAAATCAGCACTTATATCTATATAATATACAGATTCAATCAAACTGGGATCTCTGTCTGATTCCCAGACCAGAGCCGAATGGTTCTCATGTACAACCACGAGTCAGCCTAACGTGAGGCCTAACAGACACCTTTAACACAACACGCCTTATAAAATGCTGACCAACACTTAGAGAATTATAAACGAGAAGCACAGATACTGTAAAAACGAGCTGGTTGAGTGGAACAGATTCAAGACACAGAATCTCATGCTGTGTAGAAGTTTCTTACTCTCATTGCTGAGCGTGCCGATGGCGTCATCCACGATGCAGTCGGGACTGAAACCCTGAGTTTTAGACAACAGGCCGAGCAGAGAGGCGATCTTCAGCCGCACAGAGTTGTCCGTCTCCTGGGAGACGACGACAACAACAACAACAACAACAACATCATCAGATGTGTTCTGTGTTTTCATCTTAGCTGATAGTCACCATCAGTTCTATCACCCAGTAGGTTTCAACATTCAAGGAAACTGAGGTGTTTGATTTGGTGAATAACACCAAACGCTGGTGAGCAGAGAATTTATTTTAAAGATTCACAAGGAAAGCCCGTGTTAAAGGACAAATACGCAGCCAGTGGAGCAGATCGAAGGAAGTCACAGGAATATCAGCAGTGTGCTGTAATGTGAGCTGGTGTGCTGCTGGTTCTGACCTTGTAGTAGTGCTCTAGCAGGATCCGGACCACGCCCTCCACGCTCTCCGCCTCCACAGGCTTACGGGCGAACTGCAGCAGATACTGCAGGGCGTCGGTGGAGTTTGTGGCTTTGCAGAGGTCGATGTGTAGAGCTGCAGATTTACTGGGTTTGGACAGACGCAGCGTCTTCGCCGGAGTTTCTTCATGAGGAATCTGTGAGCAGACAGACAGACAGACAGACTGAAGGAAGTGGTGGCAACTCTGTCGATGTCCTGTTCACACCAAACGCTCTCAACGTCGTCTTTGTTCTGCAGGAATGTGAACACTTTCCAAACATTAGAAAATCCCCACATGCTCGGGTTCTTCTCTACATCTCTGAACCTCTCGTACTTTCTTCTGCACCTCGAATTCTCAGATCAGAGAATCAGCTGCTGTCATGTCCATCAGCTTAAAACACAGAAGGAACGTAGTTTCACTGTCCGACCAGCTCAACCTGTAGAAGGTTCTCTAACGAGTCTGCTGCTGATTTACTGCTGCTCCCCTGTTTGAATGCTTCATGGTCACTTAAACAAATGTTGATGAGACTTTCTTTGAATGCCTGTTGTAAAGGTTTGTTTTGTTTAATGCTGCTGTTTTCTGTAAAACACCTGGAGATGAAGTGTCCTGGAACAGAGCTGCTGGACTGATCCAGATGTGCTGTATGCACACATCTGGATCCCTAACCCAGTTCATGTGTCCACACCCTAACCTGACAGAAAACCTCCATCACAGCTTCAGACATCATCTCCTTTAAAGTCCCTCCTGAACAACAGGACAAAGTAAAACTTAAACCTTCTTCAGCATCCGAACAGAACCATCCAGTGTCCAGTGAGCTCTGATGACCCACAAACTACAGAAGCTCAAAGCTTCACAGCGACGGTGTGTGACAGGCTGTGGAGGCTTTTATGATCCGTTCAGGATGAATACCGACAGAAACAGGCTGATGGAGATGAAGCCTGATGTCTGCTCGCAGCTCTTTTCTTTTTAGAGTCTTTTTACATAAGTGTAGAAGCCCTCAGCCTTTTATTGCAGACGGCAGCAAGAAACCTGATTAGCATTGCGTTTAGCAGTACAAGCTAAATAGAAGAACTGATCACTGAGTGTGCAGAATCTTTACATCAGAAGTGAGCTACGTTTGGTTAACCAGCTCCGTTAACTAGCTGTAGTTAATTAGTGAACGAGCATCTTTACTGTGAGTCTGTCAAACGTTTATTGGGACACAAAACCGGAGACGCTGTGCTTGAGTGCGACAGTGAGCGGCTCGCTGTTAGCCTAGCCACTTAGCATCAGCTAACCAGCTGCTGAAGCGTAACTCGGACCTTTGATCTGCTCTGATTCCGCACCGAGCACAAAGAACGCAGTTCTCACCTGGACGACTTTAGAAAACTCCTCGTACACGCGCTTCTTCAGATGAGCTGCCATGTTGGGGAAACACAGTTAGCTTAGCTTCCCATTCAGTCGCAGCGACACAAGACTGTCCTTCGCGCTTCCCGTCCTTCCTCTTCTTCGTGGTTTGAGTTAGAGCTTCATCAGCGCCCCCAGCAGGTGGACGTGAGGACCAGCAGGTCTGGACCAGACGACAGAGAATGAGACACAGAAAGGACTTCATGAAACTCGTTCCTTTAGTTCTTTTGTAAAACATCTGTTGAACCAACATTTGTTTTCTCTTTCAGATGCTTTGGACCACAATGTGTTTCATTTTCTACACGTCTGGAGCTCAGATCAGCAGATTCAGCTTTGACCCGTAACTGCTCCACGTTCAGGGTGGTTCTGATCAAGTAAACATTCTTCGTGTGGTTGGCCCACATTCATGTTTCCCTTTATTCTTCACATTCAGCTTCATGGAAACAGAAGAACGTCTGCAATAAAACACAACAACACCGCGGAAACACGATCGGATCACATCCACCTGACACCAGAACCTGTTGTCTTCGGACTGCAGCTGAGTCAGCAGAGTGATGTTGTAGCAAGAGCTGTGGGTCAAACGGTACCTGAACAGAACCAGAACACAGCCGCTGTCAGTGACCCGGTTCGACCTGATGATGTGCAGCTCTGTGGAGCCAGAACCTCCTGTTTAGTATTCAGTCTGAACTGGACCACTGGTGTTAGTAGTTCTAGTAACTAGTAGTGCTAGTACTAGTATTGGTAGTAGTACCAGCACGCCCGCTGATAGGGGGGGACAAACGGGTCTGTTGTCCCGGGCCCAGAGTGGCGGGGGGGCCCAGAACTGGACCCTCATTGAATTATGGATTTTTTCCCCCAAAGAAGGGCTATTAATGGAAAGAAACAGGGCAGTATTTGAGTCAGAAGTTTTAATTAGTTTTCGTCTGAACTGTCCTTAATATCTTTGGAGTTGCCCTCCACCCCCACCTCCAACATTAAATGGTTTGGCCCCTGATCAACGTCTGATGTCCTTTGATTGGAAGTTCGGATTTTGCACTTCAGCACCAAAATGTCCGCTCAGCAGAAGTCTGGTGCTCAGAAAAGGAAAAAGAAGAGAAAAAGAGAGGAAGAAAATAGAGGCCTTTAAAAAATACTTTAAAAAAAGGTGGTGACACGAAGCTACAACTAGTAAAGTCAACGTAGAGCGAGGTAAGAAACAGCGGAGCCAACGTTTGTCAGCCTGGTAACGTTATCTGGCTACTAGCTCTTAATGTCCATTAGCTGTGATTAAAATCCTGACAAAACATGAGTTGTTTGACAGAAACAGACGAGTTTAGTGGCTCCGTCAGAGCATCTGATCTCATCTGATATCATCTTGTCCCGGCCCAGGGAAGGCTGTCAGCTGGCCTGTGTACCAGTATTGGTAGTGCTAGTAGTGGCAGTAGTGTTAGTAGTACTAGTGGAGGTAGTGGAACTCGTTCTAGTAGCAGTGGTAGTACTAGTAACTAGTAGTGGTAGTAGCTTCACCAGACTGTTTAAGCCTAATGAATTTAGTCTTTTGTTTGTTTTATGGACGTATAGAGATAAAATAAAAACTCCCTTTAACCCCAGAACCAGAACAAAACTCCTTTAATGCACACAGACAACACGGACAGAGCTGCAAAGACGAAAACAGGTTCTTTAAAGGACCGTTTTACAGATACTTCCTTGTGGACCCACCTGGTTCTGTTTGCCAGCAGGACTTGATCATTGTTTAAGTTATTTGTCAGGAAAAAGTGCCAAGAATTGCATCGTATGTATTTGTTGTTTTGGACACACGTGAAGCGACTTTATGCAGATGCTGGGTCACGTTGGAGAATCCTGAGTCCCGGTGTTCAGTTTGGGTCATCCAGGACACGTTGCTGTCGTTGTGGACAAACTCTGAGTCTGAAGGTGTGTTTGTAGACGTGACGTCACCACCAGGTGAAGGTGACGTTGTAGAAGTAGTCGTAGCTCCTGGACATGAAGCTCCTCTCCATGACGTGAGGCTGGATGTCGACCCGGTAGCCTCGACTCTCGATGTCCACCTTCACACAGTCCAGCAGGTCTCGGACCGACGGGGACGCTGTCCATGGCCCGAACGTCACCACCGACTCCTTGTCTGCGTCCAGGCTGCCGATGGCGTCGTCATAGAAACCGACATCGTCCTTGCTGGGCAGAACACAGATCATGATGGTGGAGCGCCGGGCGGCGACGGCCTCGGCCCGAGCGATACGGATCAGAACCTGGAGAGCAGATGAAATGGTTACTTGAGGCTCACTTGAACACTCCCAACCCCAACCCTGACCCAACCTGCCGGTGAGTTTAACACGCAGCTCAACTGACCAGTTATCAGCCAGAACACAAAACACACAGAACCGGATCCTCAGCATACGTGAGTCTTGAGCTATTCGTGTGTAAAGCGTCCTGTTGGAAGAATCACCAAACCTGAGCTTGGAATTACGATGTTTTATCAGAATACATTCATTCTACGTGTCTCATTTAAACATTTGTCAAACCAGATTCTGTAAAAACAAAGATTCTGAGCTTCTTGCTGCAAAAAGAACCATCAGGACTCAGAGCAGAGAGGAGACGGGTCAGGAGACTAGAGCAGAACCTTGTCAAACAGCCACAGTGAGGAGAGAACATCTGTTCCGGTGTCAGAGCATCTGTGGAAGCTCTGAAGCATGTTGGACATGTGGGATCCAGGTTTTCAAATATTTTTGTCAAGTAAATGATTAAAGAAACGTTTCTTCTCTCTGGTTCCATGGTTCTGCGTCCTGCTGACAGAAGACGTCTCTGAGTTCTCTCTCCTTCTTCATGTGGTTCTGGTTCCACAGAGCTGCAGGACTTTATGCTGCATAGAAACATGAACCTCAGTGGAACCAGTGAAACCAGCAGCTCACCTCGATGTTCTCTTTGTAATGTGGGACTCTGGATAAGAACTGCTGCCGACCAACCAGCTCTCCAAACAGCTGAGGCGTCTCCTCCAGACGTTTGATCAGAGCAGGGATGTTGTAGTAGAGCGCCTCCTGGTGGACCTGCAGGAACCACAGCCAAGGAGTTCACTTCAAGAGTTTCATTACTTAGAATTTATATTTTGTCACCATTTTGAGAATTTTACACATTTCAGAACTGAATAGATCCTTGAGACCAGAAAAAGTGCAAAAATGTTCAGTCCAGGCTGGCGCTGATCCAGAAAGTTCCTGTCAGTGTCTGTCTATGGATGGATCCATGGTTCTACCAGAACCCAGTCTCTGGTCACATTTCACCACCTGTTGAGGCTCTAACATCAGTAGAACCTGATGTGGTGAAGTTGGACCAGTCAAGGTTCTGGTTCTTACATGTTCAGACTAAATGTTGATGTGGATCATTGGTAGGAACCAGAACCTGGAGTTCACAGGTTCTACGTGTTGGTTCTAGATGTTGGTTCTGGATGGTGGTTCTGGATGTTGGCTCTAGGTGTTGGTTCTAGATGGTGGTTCTAGATGTTGGTTCTGGATGGTGGTTCTGGATGTTGGGTCTAGGTGTTGGTTCTAGATGTTGGCTCTAGGTGTTGGTTCTGGATGTTGGGTCTAGGTGTTGGTTCTAGATGTTGGTTCTGGATGGTGGTTCTCGGTGTTGGTTCTGGATGTTGGATCTAGGTGTTGGTTCTGGATGGTGGTTCTGGATGGTGGTTCTAGGTGTTGGTTCTGGATGTTGGTTCTGGATGGTGGTTCTAGGTGTTGGTTCTGGATGTTGGGTCTAGGTGTTGGTTCTAGGTGTTGGCTTCGGGTGTTGGTTCTGGATGGTGGTTCTAGATGTTGGTTCTGGATGGTGGTTCTAGGTGTTGGTTCTGGATGTTGGCTCTAGGTGTTGGTTCTGGATAGTGGTTCTGGATGTTGGCTCTAGGTGTTGGTTCTGGATGTTGGCTCTAGGTGTTGGTTCTGGATGGTGGTTCTCGGTGTTGGTTCTGGATGGTGGTTCTAGGTGTTGGTTCTGGATGTTGGCTCTAGGTGTTGGTTCTGGATGGTGGTTCTAGATGTTGGTTCTGGATGGTGGTTCTAGGTGTTGGTTCTGGATGTTGGCTCTAGGTGTTGTTCTGGATGGTGGTTCTAGGTGTTGGTTCTGGATGTGCAGAGCTACGAGCTGCTTCATGCTAACATCACATGAGGCTGATTTTACTGAATGTTTTCATACTTATACTTAATAAACGTCTTTAATCTTTTGTAAAAACATTTAATTCTTCAAAATTCAAGAATAATATTTTACAGAACTGAGTCTACAAAGAAATAAGTCGAGTTTAAACTTGGTCTGAACTGACTGAACTCGATTGGACAGCTGACGGGTGAGTCAGACCTCCTGGATGTTCTCCGTTGGAAGAGTCTCTGATCTCATGAACTCCAGCAGAGCTCCAAAGTGTGACCCATTGCGGTCGATGAAGAAGGTTCCCTGAGCGTCGCTTCTTGTTTTGTTCTGTCCGTTTAACAGCTCCGCCAGCTTGGAGTCAGGGTGTCTTCTGAGCGTGCTCAGTGTGGTGCTGAACAGGTGACCTCCGACATTGAGCTGCACGACAGCAGACGACTGAAAAACACAATGAGACAGGATCCAGTCTAAAAGTACGAACTCTCTGAGGTGCAGCAGGTTCTCCTGGGTCAGGTTCTCAAGAAGTTTCAGAAGCTAAAACATATTTTTTAAATATTCTTTAAAAATCTAAAACACATAAGAATATCAAAGACTATCAAAACAACACGAAGCAGGTCAACAAATTAAAAACTTTTAAAATGATCCAAATGTTAGAACAAACATGTTTAACAATATTTTAAGAATATTCAAATCTTATTTAAAAAATGAAATAAACTGAATAATTATCAAACATTTAAGATGATCAACTAATGTATTTAAAATAATAATAACAATAATAACTGATTAGATTATTCATTGACACACATTCATGCCAGTGGTGGTAGCGACGGGTGGAGCCACAGCTGCCCCGGGGCAGACGGACAAAAGAATCTTTAGTATCTCCCAAAAATGTTTCAAAATATTTGAAAAAAATTCAGTCTTCAATATATATTTAAATATCCATTTTTTATATCAAAACAGCAAGAAAATAATACAAAAATGTAAATAAATAAACATTTACAAAAACAAGAACATGAAGACTGAATGAAAATATATTGTAAAAATAAAATCAAAATTTAAAAAAAATTAAATCACAAACTATCAA